ATGCTCCATCTCCATCCTCTTCCCTTCCCCAAAAAGCAGTTTAATCTTCCTTGGAGAAGTAAAGTGTACAAAAAATGTTTTACTATTTTTGTGCATTTATGTAGTTTTAATAAATTATATATATATTTTAATGAAGACTAACATTACTGGTGCTGGGTAAGTGCACAAGTCAGGACTTGGTTAGTCCTTGTTTGGAAAAATGAACCTAAACAGTGTTATATGAGTGCTGGTGTGCTGTGTGCAGTTGTTTTTGAATGCTGCCACTTTTGTAGTGGTTGAAATTATTTAAGAGTTTTCATTACTTCTCAGCTCTTCAGCTGTGTTTTTAACACAGCACTTCATCTGACATTTGGTTGTACTTAGTTTTACATCAAACTACCCATAATAAAGTTTTAATTGCTTTAGAATAGTTTTACACAAGTTCCGCTTCTTTGGTTTTTGTTTCAGCAGAAGTGCAAGATGCCGTTACAGTCTGCAGTACACAAGTCTATATCCTGTGGCAGCATTTTATGTTTTCATGGAGCATGCTGCTCTTTGGACTGTCCTGAGTTTTGTTCCTCAGTCATTTTTTCCGAACTTCTGCTGCCTTTCTTTCTTTTCCTGTTTCCTTTAATACGTTGTGGACAACAAGACTAACTTGTTTGCTGCAGGTAGTCTGTGAAAGTTTTACTTGTAGTTTAAGAACAAACTGCTACTGTTGAGAAAAAGTTGAAACTTTCCCTGATAAATAGAATTTTCAGAGCATCTTTGGTGTACTTTTGGTTTTTTTTTTTTTCCTTAGTTTACAGTGGTTTGTTAGTGTTTCTATATTTTTAAAATGGTTATGTGTGTTATATTCCATGATTGACATGGCAGGAAACTTTCTATGTAAATTGAAGTCTAGAGACGAAGATTGGAAATGGCAGTAACCGTAACCCTGCATTTAAGATTGATAGCAGACTTTGCTGAAATAATGAAAAAGGTTGATGTTTGGGATTCTTTTTTTTGAGGGAAGTTGTTCTCAATCAAGGGTATTGGAGTATGTGTAAGAAATTCAGTACGTGGCTTAATAAAGTTTCTCTCATGACTGTAGCGAAAGCTCATTTGATCTAAAACTCATGAGCTTTTGGAAAATGGAAATGGCTCACAGAGGTTTGTTGCAAGCTTACCCAGGCTACTAGTCTGCAAAAGCAGGATGAGTTACTTCTCCTATAGATTTTCTTTATTTGACCTTAACAGTAATACCTTTGAGAAAATAAATTGCAAATTCCTTAAAGCAAATGGGAATCTTCTTTAATCTCATTTATTCTGGTAGCTACAGGAGATTGTATGTTTCTTGATTCATGGGAGAAGGAGTTTTGTAATGATATAAAAAAACTAAATTCCCAGTTATAGTATATAAATGTAGTATATCTGGGGTTTTGGGGTGGTTTTGTTTTGTTTTTTGCACATTGGTGATAACATAAAACTTCTGTTTCATTGCCTTGTTGCTTGGCAGCTGCTGCATCTGTGACTAGACATGAGTGTGTTTTCCTTAAAATAAGCATTGAGGTCTTCCTTTCCTAAAATAATGCCTGTTGCTTATAATTTCTGGAAAGTGGACTGTATAAACATGAGTCTCATGGATTGCATAAGCTCATGTCATTCGGGGCTTGCTACTGAGGAAAATTACTCCTGCTGATAAGCCTGCATGTTCTTTGGTTTTCGTACTTCCACAAGCAAGAGAGAAACGTGTCTGAGCAGCTCTAAATCCTTTTACATTTTAATATTCCTTATTTGTCAGAAAATTTGGGGATTTTTAACCCCACTTATCATGGTTTAACTGCAGTTGGCAACGTAAGTACCACACAGCCACTGGCTCACTTTTCTCCCCCTGTGGGATATGGAGGAGAATCAGAAAAAAATAAAACTTGTGTGCTGAGATAAGAAAAGTTTAATAGTTGAAATTAAGTAAAATATAATAATAATTGTATGAAAGGGGAGATGACAGAGAGCGAGGAATAAAACCCAAGAAAGTCAAGCGATGCACAATACAATTGTCTGCCACCCCATTGACTGATGCCAGCCTGTCCCCATGCAGCTATCCATGGCTCCCAGCTAACTCTCACCAGTTCATATAGTAAGCATGATGTGCTGTGGTATGGAATACTCCTTTGGCTAGTTTGGGTCAGGTGTCCTGTCTCTGCTCCCTCCAGGCTTCTTGTGCCCCTCCTCACTGGCAGAGCATGAGAGATGCAAAAGTCTTGATTCAGGGTAAGCACTACTTGGTAACAGCTAAAACACTGGTGTGTAATAAACATTCTTCCTATACTAAATCCAAAACATGGCACTGTACTAGCTACTGGGGAGAAAATTAACTATCCCAGCCGAAACCAGGACACCACTGTTAGTAACCATTCTACAGACTGAAAAAAAACTTCGCTTACTGTAATCGTAAATTCCTACATTAGAGAATGAAATGAGTCATTACACTTGTAAGTTATGTTTAAACTAGTATAAGACTGGACTACCACTGGAGAGTAGTGTCTTGATTGCTATGGCTGCATGTTTCTGTTGCATTCCTTGTTCCTCAACATCAGCAGTCTGGGAACCACATGGTTGCTTTGCCCAGTGCATCACTGAAAACTGGTTCATTACCATGAATATGTATTTCTTGGTACCGACATGGTGGTCATGAGAAGAAACCATTGCAAGGGTCTGAGTGTGCCAAAATGTCCATTTCAGCAGCAACATAATCATAAACTGATGGAAGCAATCAAATTGTGAAGGTAGTCCTTAGGGTTTGTTTATTTATTTATTTTCTCCTGGGTATACATACAGCAACAGTGTACATAGAGACATGTAGCCATGTCATATTTGGCATACCTATGTTTAAACATTTTATACGTACTCTCACAAGAATGAACAGGTATTTCTACTTGCTCAGTCCTTTGGGAATGTGCACTGTGCTCTGGTTCTCGTAGCAGTAATTACTTCATCTGTCTTTAAAATTTAAACTGTCATCTAACTTGTTTTTGCTGATAGCTGATTTATATTAGCTAGATGCCTGAATGGAAACTTGAGTAATGTGTCTCTGGCTTGCGGCAGGCTGAAAACAGAACAGTTTCTACACCTCACTTGAAAAATAGGTCTGACAGGCTATCTGAGAGTAAGAAATAGTTATTTGCAGAGACCCAAGAGATTTCTTTTTATCTGAGCAGAATGTTTTTTCAGCTTTTCATTTTAGACGCTATGTGAAGTGTACTGCGATAGTTTTTAGGGGAATTTAAGCTTTCTCATAAAGCAAAATCTCTTCTGACAGGTCTTTCAACATAGTGTAGGACTGAACTCCTCCTTAATCTCCAGCTATTTGTACTGACTTGCTGAGAATGAGAACAAGATTAATCAGTACCATGAAGTTTGAGGCTTGAACACTCAAGACAATGCTAGCTTTATCATTTTCTTTCTTGTATAGGAAATGAAAAGCAAATACAGGAGTTACAAAATAGACACTCTCAAATGGATTTTCTACAATGTCAGCTAAATGACAATAAAAGAGAATGCTTCTCTGTAAATCTGTCAGACTGTTGAATAACTTCTCCCTTTTCTCTTAAATATTTAATATTGTGTTCATAATCCAAATGGGAAGTCTCCTGGGAGTGGAGGAAGAAATGCCTTGAATCACTGTATGGAAATGACTTGATATACAACTAGATCATACAAAGTAACTTGCTAAGCTCAAGTCCCTTAGTTGTTAGTGTTCTTTGCAGAGGGCTTCCTAGCAAACAGACTGGAAGAGTTAGAGCTTAATAAAGGGAGTTCTGCCATGATTGTCTTACAGTATAATGCCCTTTGGAGAGGCACGTGAAGTTACATAAGCTTATTTGACTGTCTGAATAAACAACGATCATGATGACCTTTCAGACTCTGATAATAGGATGTCTGGGATGGGTCACTCTTTCTTCCAGTATTAGAAGCATGCTGCTGGTCACAGCCTTAAGTAAAAACTTAATTGTAAGGGAACAAGTGTGCTGAGAATTCATGTCAAAATTTTGTTCTCTTAGCAGTCTGTAGCTTGCAGTAGCTGATTGCAGGCTAGTGCCATTGCCTTTATCCAGTTAATGTCTGTTAATACTTTCAAGTCTCTGTTGAAGATTTTATTTATTTTTTTTTTTTTTTTTAAATAATTCTCTCACATCTCCCGGGAAGGTCTTCAGAAAGTGATCTTAAACCTGTTCATTTGTCTTTTTAATCAAATGTGGAAAATGGCTTAAGAACTTTACTGTTTGCGAGTTAGCAAAACCAGAGCAGGATTGGTGGCAGCCTGTCAAATCATTATCTTGTAATTATGAAAGTCTTATTTTAATGTTTTCATTACAATTATAAAACCAAAATACAATAGCCTTGGATGTACCTAATCTTGTGCCAGGGGAAGGATAGTCAAAAATAAAAATGTGCGTATTAGTGGTTGTTAATCACAGGAAAAAGGCATAAGATCAGTCTGAACTTGCAAAAACCAAAGGACTTCCAGGAAGAACTAGATAGCATCAGGAGGGAATCCCTACCACTCTTTACTTCCGGTGCTTGAAATGGATTTTCAGTATTTCTTGACTTATGGTTGTAGCACTGTATTCAGATGAGTCTTGTCTTGACTTGGTAAATCTGGCTGGTTTGTAACTTTTTTTTTTCCCTTGGGTTTTGGGTTTTTTTTTTCTACCCAGCTTCTGCAGCCTGTCTCAGTAGTTGGAAACATGACATACAGAGACTGATTTGATACTCAGTTTGGCATTTCACATAGTATGATCTTCACTTTTCTTAATGTTACCTATTTACATTCTGTCTTTAAAATCTGGATTACAGGAACCTCATATTTATAACACTGTGTTCTGAAATGAAATATTTGGTGAATGCTTATGTTCTTTCTTCACATCAGAATTCTTGAAGTACATAATAATAATGATGCATTGCGTTAATACAAAAAATTTTGATGAAAATGGTGTGGTTTCAAGTTTGATGCAGTTTATTTTTGTGTTATACTGTAGGTCTGTCAAATGGTTTTGGAGATGGAAGTAAAGAGAGAGCATTAGATGATACTCCTGGAAGAAAAGTTGAACCTCGTCGCCGCTGTGCATCAGAATCTAGTATTTCATCTAGTAACAGTCTTTTGTGTAACTCAAGGTAAAACTGTAAATCCGAAATACGATTTGAGACTGGAAATACCAGTTTTCTATACGGCTTGTGACCCACACTGGAAATTTCCTTAGAGTTTAGAAAAAAGAGTACATTACCATTTTCTCAGTTGTGTGTCAAATCTGAGACACCTTTCAGGATTACTGGTATTCCTTTGTTATTACTGCAGATTCAGGCAGTTACACTTTATACTTGATCATGCTTCTCTTGCTCTCTATAGATACATATACGTTTGTGCATACAGTATCTTGTTTTAATTACCTTCCTAATCCCAATCACTGAAAATAGATGTGTTTATTTCAGTGAGGGGAGGGGAGAAGCAATTTCCAAAGCAGAGCCTTGTATGCAGGGAAGGTAAATTCAGTAGCTGTGGAACTGCAGATTATCAGTCCCTGGTTTGGAATACTGGCTAGTTACTGCAGTGATGATAGTACCCATGTACCAACTATTGACCTTCTCTTTGTCAAGTCTGTTGCTAAAGAATAGGACTGTCAAAATGGTCACCTCTGCCACCGTTGATGGAAATTTTTCTCCATCACCAATGGTGATACCTGTATCTTCCAAAAACACGCTGATCTCTGCGTGAAAGGTAGCGGTCTCCAGTCCCTGGGCTATGAGGATGGGACATAACAGGAGTACAGGATCAGTCTGATGTGGGTTGGGGAAGGGAAGGTTTTATTCATGTGTTCAAGACTGGTGTCAAACTGTTTAAAGCTGTTAAAACAGTCATGTTAAACAGGCTTTCAGAAACGAAGCAGGTTTAATGTTCTGTCTCTTATAAATGAAGTATAATGAGGATTTGATGTAGAATAATTTTGTTCAGATTCTGTGATGTCTTAGAGAAAACTCAAGTGTGCAGATAACATTTCCTATTTTATATATAGATATTCCACAATCGAAAGACTTGTAGTGAAAAATGAAAGAGAAAATAATCGTGTTTCCTATATCCTGAATTGTTAGCTCTGAGGAGAGGGAACATGTTTTCATTTGGCCAGTATCCACTCTAACACTGGAGACAAAACAGCTTCTCTTATTTGTGCATGTATAACCTGTACAGCAGTTGAGGTGCAGTTGCATACTGTTTGTCTTTTGCCAATAACCAGGCAATTCTGTGCATGAAAATAATCTGGGATTGTGGTTTTTATGCTGGTTTTGTTACATAAGATTTGTTAGAGCTTGCTGCTCTGATTTTGCTGTGTACTGATGAATTTTAAATGCTTCTTCAAAGTCTCAATTTATAGTGAACCATGTTAATTATCAAGTAATGGTTTTAATATTAATACTTTTGTAGTTTCAGCCTACCAAAGTGTGGTAAAGGTAAACCTGCACTTATACGAAGGCACACACTGGAAGACCGAAGTGAATTAATATCATGCATTGAAAATGGAAACTATGCCAAAGCAGCAAGAATTGCAGCTGGTAACTATAAATAATTGTCTTCTTCATAATACTGTGTAACAATAATTTTGTCCATTTATTTGACAGGTTCTAGCATTCTTATTTTTGCTGCTGGAATACATTGAGTGTTCTGAAAGTGGTGTTGATAGCATTGCAGAAATTACTAGTTTCTGCTTTTGACTCTTTAAAGATTTTGAAAGCAGTACCTGATTTTTTTTATTATTATGATTTTTTATTTTTTTATTAATAAGTGGTACGTAAAGTGATCAAGCTCCTTTAGTACTACAAGCAAAATTTTACCTGAAGTAGTGTTTGTGGTTCTGTCAATATTTTTCTTTGTTGGGCTGTTTGGTTTGGGGTTTAGTCTTCAGCTATTGTTCTGCATAAGCATGTTGATAGACAGGTAGGACCTGGTCTGCTTTGATTCAGGAAAAATTTGAAATTGGAAAGAAGTGTAAATTTCTAGGAATGTAGAGGATAGTAAGTTACCATGTTTTAGGGAAATAACTACGTTCTGTTGATATGTTTTCCACCTCTTCAGTATTTTAATTTCATTATAGGATTTAAGTAGGTCATCTCTTCCGTAAGTAGAACTGTGTAATGCAGTGCTCCCACACAGAAGTTAGGCATCAGCCTTGCAGTGTCTAGCAGGCCTGACTTTAGTTTCTGACCTTACAACTCTTCTCCCCTCACACCAGGTGTTCCTTGTTCAAGGATTCTTCCGTGTTTCCAGTGGTTTTGTCTGACTCTTTGTTTGCCTTAGTCTGTTCTTTCCACCCTGTGTGATTTGTTTTGGTTTTCTTTCTTGTAGCTAATTTGTTTTCAGTTACTGCTTCATTACTATCAGGTTTAGGATCTTTATTATCTTTATGGTAATCTCTTACACAGGACTTTACCTTTTCCACTTTCTGCCCTGGGTATTCTTACATTTAACACTTTCCACTTAGAATTCCTGTATCCATTTTTTCAGAATTCTCCTTGATCTCTCTTAATTCTGTTCTCAGATACGTTCCATAGGCACCTATAAGGAGGAGCAAATGACATTCAACAGCATTATTTTTTCAGCACAAATCCACAACAGTCCCATACTAGCTACTGTGAAGAAAATTAACTCTATCCCAGCCAAAACCAACACACCATTATAGATTAAAAATAAATTGTAATTGAATTAATTTAGCCTGTGGCTGAAAATTGCCCTAGAATATATTGTGGGGAATGACTGACCTCTTTCTTTTTTCTGTCAACACCTAAATCGTCTTTCCCTTCCTATTTCTACTCTTAGAAGGTCTGAAACCACTTTTTTCCTGTACTACTTTTGTGATGTTGAGACAGAAGTTACATCTGCATGCCACATTTCATTATAAATGAGCATTGCACATTTTAAATGGGAGCAGATTGGGAAGAATTGAGGAATAAATCGGCAAGTAGAGAGCTACTTCTACCAAGTATTGCCTGATTGCTAAAAAGAAGCACGGCTGCCACCTTTGAACTGTATCTCAGTGCCACGTTTCCACATACAAGAAGTGCCACCTCATCTTCACAGCCTGTGAACTTCCAGTGCCGCCTTCCTACTTTTTCCACTCCCAGTTCCATCTTGAGAGGATAACTTGCTGTCTTCCACCCATTCTCTTGACTATATCATTATGAGTACAGGGGGCCAATCGCAGTTCTGGTTGACTGAAAGTCTTTAACCTGTCTCATGCTTCAGTCCAGTGGTGACAACAGAGAAGAAAATGGAGAATTGTGATAGAAGCGAGAAGTAACATAAACTCAGTTTTCTGTTGCCTCCTGAGAAGGAAGAAACCAGCAGCTACTTCCATACCACCCTGTTAGTCTTTTTCACTTTTTTGCAGGAAGGGCTGGGCAGAGAGACCAAGAAGGCCAATTAAATATAAATAAATAAATAAAAATTAAAATGCAGAATAGAACTTCTGCATAAGAACAGAAATGTATACAAGACAGGCATTCTAAGTTATCAGGTGCTAGTCCTATTATGGTATCCAACACTTTGGAAGCATACCATGCATCTTCAATACCATCACAGCTTTGACAGGATTGTCATTGTAGTTTCAAAAGACACTGCTTATTTGAAGTACCACAACTTTATGTTTTCTTTTGAGCTTTTTTCAAAGGGAAAGAGTTACTAGAATTTGGTGAACATTTGCTTTTTGAGAATTAAGGTGGTTTATGATAGGCTGTTTCCAGAAGTGTCTGAATACTTAGTTCTTATTAGTATCATTTAAAGAGCTATTTTGAATGTTGTCTGCTTTTTATTGCTATTTTATATATGCATGAAAAGTGGTGTTGATATTTGGATTCTAATGATCATGAGGCACTGTTGAGAAAACAAGTGCAGAAGATTGGTCTGAGGTTGCATTCTTTAACATTTTAATATTTAATTATTATTTGTTCTTAGAAGTTGGGCATAGCAGTATGTGGATTTCAACTGATGCTGCAACATCTGTTCTTGAGCCTCTCAAAGTAGTATGGGCCAAATGCAGTGGATATCCCTCTTACCCAGCTCTGGTAAGTACACAGCTTCCCATCCGTACACTAGTGATACTATTTCTGGTCTGGAAACACTAGTGTGTGAATTTAAGCCAATTGATGAATTCCCATTCAGGTTGAATAAAGTTGGATTATGCTGCCCTCTTAACTGTGTATCATTTGTAAAATTACTGCAGTATCAGATGTTGAGTCAATAATTACTTCCCTACCCATCTTTTGAAGATGTGTAATGCCTGTCGTGGTTTAACCCCAGTCAGCAACTAAGTCCCACAGAGGCACTCGTTCTTGGGATGGTGAAGAGAATTGGAAGGGTAGAAGCGAGAAAACTCGTGGGTTGAGATAAAGGCAGTTCAACAGGTAAAGCAAAAGCCGTGTGCACAAGTAAAACAAAACAAGGCATTTATTCACCACTTCCCATGGGCAGGCAGATATTCAGCCATCTCCAGGACAGCAGCGCTCCATCACATATAATGGTTACTTGGGAAGACAAATGCCATCACTCCCAATGTTCCCCCCTTCCTTTTTCATCCCCCAGCTCTATACGCTGAGCATGACTCCATATGGTGTGGGATATCCCTTGGGTCAGTTGGGGTCAGCTGTCCCAACTGTGTCCCCTCCCAGCTCCTTGTGCACCCCCAGCCTACTCACTGGTGGGGCGGTGTGAGGAGCAGAAAAGGCCTTGGTTCTGTGTAAGCGCTGCTCAGCAACAACAGAAACATTCCTGTGTTATCAACACTGTTTACAGTACAGATCCAAAACAGAGACCCATACCAGCTACTATGAAGAAAATTAACTCAAGTCCGGCCAAAACCAGCACATGTGTCTTGGTAGTCTCTGTTTCTGCAATATATATTATTGCTTTAAAGTATGTACTGAATAAGCATTTGACAGACATCTTGATGTTGGAGCTACAAGATACTTTCTGTTGCAAAATGAGTATAGAAATATTCTGATTCTGCAGTTCATTAAAAAACAGAAAGCTTGCTATATTCAGAATAAATTGAATTACTGTATCCAGTTGTGAATGTCTACTGGAAACTGAAAGCAGTTGTGCCCATGTTATTTTAGGAGAAATAGAGAGTTCTACTTATATTAAAGTTTGCAGAGAAAATATTGATAAGTGTTTGGCTTCAGGCACTTGGAGTTATAGAAACAGTGCATACACTGTGGCTTGATTTCTCTAATAGGCTGGACAATTACGACTTTTAATGTGCGTGTGCTGGGAACATCAGGAAATGTAATTGTACAGAGTCAGGTTAAAACCTGCGGAGGTGAGATTCAGAGCACTTAAACTCAAGTGCTCTCAGTGGGTGACTCAAACACTCTGGATCAGATGCTGAAAATTTGATGCTTTGATTGTGTTTTGAATGGTGTTAGCACTTCAGTGTTAGATTTAAGTTGATCATGACTAAAGGTCTCCTTTTCTGCCCACTCCTTTATGTCAGCACTGGTGTTTCTCTTGAGTGTGTGATGTGTTGATTGGGGAATTAAACCTCAGTCAAACTCTCCACAGCGTTAGCTTTCTGTTGATGTAGTTCCCATAATAAGTTTACTGTGGTTTAAGACTGGTGCCAGTTTGGATGGTATTTGAAAAATGGAAGTTTAGAGAGTAGGAGGTGGGTGGAACAAGCATGAAGTAACATAGCTCCTCTTTGGTGGAAGCTGAGCACTTGATAATGCTGTGACCTGCCTACAAAGGAGTTTTTCCATTAGTGTGGCTATTAGTTCAATGTTAGTGGCATCTTCCGCCCTCCCCTAACCTTTGTTTAGAAAGAATTTGTGACTGTAATTCAATGTTTTGCTGCAAATGTAGTCATTAAATTGCATATGTAGGATATTTGGAAGTGACCTCAAATATCTTCTTTTCTGGTTTAGGTTTTTTGCCCCTTTTTTAAGAGTGTTTTGCTCCATTTGTGGGGCTGTATTTTGTAGACACAAATATTTATATCTTAACATAACTTGTTTCTTTAAGGTATCTGAAATTCAAACCCCCAAATTTGAGGCCAGTTATGGCTTTTAAAAATCCTGGTTCAACTTCCTCATTCTGAAACCTGCTTGTCAGCTTGCAAAGTTGTACTAAGTTAAATTCAGAATGACTTTAAGAAGAACTGATAGGGGCGAAAAATGCTGTAGAGACAGGTTTTTCAGTTAAATCTACTGCTCTGCCTCCAGTATGCCTGTTCAGTTTATGTCAAAAAGTTGTGTAAAACAAAGCCAATTTATATGCCGTGGCTGTTCAGCTTATGATTATTTTCCCATTATTTGTAATATCTCGTTAAAATAAATGATGTAGTTTAAAAAAACAGGAACTGTCATTTATTCTCTTTCATAGATTATTGATCCTAAGATGCCTCGTGTTGCTGGCCATCACAACGGTGTTACTATACCAGTGCCACCTCTGGATGTACTGAAAATTGGAGAACAAATGCAGACCAAATCAGATGAGAAACTATTCTTAGTGCTATTTTTTGACAATAAAAGAAGTTGGTATGTTACTGAAATGTATTGTTTCATGCAGTGACTTAGAATTTTAAAAGCCTGTGCCTTTAGCCTAGAAGAATTGAGACATTATCTTTCCATGGATATCTTTCCTATCGAAGTATCAACTGTAATGTTAAAATTTCATATTTGAGTCTCTTCTTGGACCAAGGTATATCATTACTGAAAGATACCTTTTTATAGTCACTTTGGAAGAAAATAATATAAGTTGTTAAATAGTCTTTTGGTTTGATATACAAGGTGTTTTCACTTACTGACCCAATAAAATTGCTTCTTTGGCTAAATCGTTTTTTAAAGGTAAAAGTATTCATATGTATCAGCCTTCATTATTGCTTCCCAAGTGACACCACCTTTTTTCCCCCCAGTATGCTCAAGTGCATTTTCTTTGAATTTTTAACCTCTCTAGTTCTAAAGTCCTTTATTAACACCCTCATTTGAAGTTCTTAACCCTTTTTACTTTTTTTTTTTTATGAAACCTTCCCTTTTTCTATTTCTTTCAGTATCTAGAATATGCTGTGTGAAGCCTGAAGGGATAATTTAGATAATAAAATATTCTTTCTCTTATGCTAGCTTTCCTATTTCGTTGCTGCTGTTTCAGGTTTTGATTGTATGTTTGCGTTTGTTGGTTTAGGTTTTTTCCCCTCCAGATATGGAAGCTTTTCATCTACTACGTCTTTTTTCTTCCTTTCATCAAATCATGTATTTCTTTCCTGTGTTCTTAATCTCTGTCCTGGTTTTAGCTTAAACCACAACATCACTCTTCTCTCCAGGTTTCCACACAGTCAAGCTAGTTTACATCTTTTTATATCTCAGTTTTAATCTTGAATCTGTTTACAGTTTCAGATATCATCTTCCTCTTTAGCTGATGATATGTCTAGTAATGCTGCCATTTCCCTGATTCTTTCTGTCCCAGTACTCTTTAACACCTAAATAACTTGGTGCCTGAAATTTGGAACTGATGTTTTCTTTTCTGTCCCCGTAGGTCCTTTGGCATAATCACAGTTCTTTGGCTTGTTCATCAATTCTTTTCTTTATTAATTAGTACTTTTTCATGATCTTCCTTGTTCAGCTGTGCAGTATTCCATGAGATCCTTCATACTTCTGCCTTTGTTCATGGATATCATACAAACTTAAACATACTCAGTATTCAGTTTCTCATTTTTCTCTTACTGGTATCACAAGTCTAATGCATGCTCTCCCTAGTCACTTCCTTAATAATTGCTGTGATTGCTTCTTGATCTTGGGAGTCCTCTGCACCTTAAACCTTTCTGGTTCATTGCCATATACAGGTGGTTCTAAGTCTTGCAAATACTATGCAAAGCTGTCTCTAACAAGTACTTTGCGTAGATGGACAGGAAAGGCTAAATACTCTTCTAGCCCCTTTTGCCTCCTCCTCTCCACTACTGTTTTTGGTAATGGTTCTTTTATTCTTATTATTTTAGCCATTTTGACAGTCATCACTACCTCACTTTTTGTCTCTCCTACTCCTGAACCCACGTGTATAATTTTCATTCACTTGCAGGGTCATCTTCAGTCCATGATACCAGCTTCTATCACCTGTGGATTACCTTTTCAAATAGTCATATTTGTTTCTTCTTTGACGCCTGCATCTGGAGGATTTGCCAAGCTTTCTGTTAAAAATACCTTCTTTGAAACTTCCCTCTAATCTGTAGCAAAACTTAAAACGGTTAGACTGTTACTTACCATGCTGATGTTACTGTTCTTTACTGTGCTGTCTGTATCTTTGTACTAACGCTTTACGTCATTTTGGTTTCAGTGTGTGCTCAGTGCAATAGGGTTGTGGTTTAGAGTGCTTTAATAAAAAATAATACTTCAAGAGAGAGTTTTATTGGGTAAAAAAACCCCAACCTCCTTGAATAAAATGTTTTGTATCAGACTTTACTGTCTGATTTGCAGTTGCTTCGGCTCCAAATGGACTCCAAAGCTGAAGTTTTTGAACAGAAGCATTGCTTCTGCCATTTGCAGAATGGGTTAGGATTGCAGCCTACAGTAACATACTTTTAATAGCTACTTATTAGTTTACCTAATTTTTGTTTTCCTTCACTGTAACTTTAAGAAAACAGGGTTGAGATAAACATTTATGGAAATGAAGTGAATTTACTTTATACATTTTAATTAAATATTTAGAATGCTTTTCCTTTAACTATAGAGGAATGAAGTGTAGAGCTTTTTTCATTATCACTTCTCTATGCCCAGTAATTAGTGACTTTCACAGAGCTTAAACCAGAAGAGTACTCTGAATACTGAGTTAGTGGGATTTCTTAATGCAGGGTAAAAGCATACGAAGCAGAACTTCCGTGACAGTTTAGCTTTCACTATAAAGACCAAACTGAGATGTCTTAAGGCAAACAGACAAAAGTTCACTATCTGCAAATTCCTGGTAATAATGGAAGTGACAGAATGGACATAAACAATACTGTGTCAAGTGAGTCTTGAGCCTTGTTCATTGTTAGTCCTTCTGCCTGTACTTAAACGAAACTGTATCAGTATTTCGGGCTTTATTTTTTCAGTTCATACTTAATACCAATCATTAAGTATCATTGGACTGTTTTCTTAGAGGCTTAATATCTCGTGTTCTTAAAATACTTAAGGCAAGTACTATTTTAAAAGGAATTTTATAACTTTACTGAAGATGGTAAAAGCTGATCTGTGATAGGAAAAATGCAATATAGCAGCCCTGACATTTCTGGATAATTTTTTTTTATTTTACTCCATATTTAACATACTTATTTTATCCTTTCTTACAGGCAGTGGCTTCCCAAATCCAAAATGGTTCCCCTTGGGATAGATGAGACCATAGACAAGTTAAAAATGATGGAAGGACGTAACTCAAGCATACGAAAAGCAGTAAGAATTGCTTTTGATCGTGCTATGAATCACCTGAGTAGAGTCCATGGAGAACCAGTCAGTGACTTCAGTGATATTGACTAACAGAGATTTTTACCAAGGCATAAAAAGTACCACACAGACTTGAACTCTACTAATGAACCTCTTTGTCTAAAAGAATGTATTGAAGATACAACCCCTTAATTGTTGATTCAGTGGCTGAGTTCTGCAAACTTGAAATAGTTGAGCAAATCTCCGAAATCACCATTGCCATATTGATTAATGATTTTATCGTGTTGTAGTTTGGAGGATTTTCCACTAAACCTGTTAAAATGTCTTGTTCATAGTGTTCATAATTGTACATAAATGTATATTCAACACTTAACTTATTCTGATTTTAGAAGTAGCTCTTTAATTCCTTTTTTAATTTTGCTGGGGAGGGAGTTGTTTTTTGTTTCTGTGCTTTTTACCTTTTTTTTCTTTCTTACTTTCTTTCTGAGGTTAAGTTACCTAAGCACTATCTTCCAGCTGAAGGTGTTTAGTGGATCTTCAAGCCTAATATCAAAATGGCATCAAATATATGTTTGCCTAAATCATATACAATATGGTGCTGCTTTGTATCATTTCTTCCTTGGTCTGTAGCTTCTGAAAAAGACTTCTGAATGTCTGTGTAAATTGTTGCTCTTTGCACAAAGTACCACGTATTTAAGATTGATGTAAATTTACAATTACAAATATGTATTTTAAGAAAGGAAGTTGCATTATTTTGGAGGGTACTTTGTGAGAAAGACATCAAGAAGAAAATTATACTATGTACATCACTTGCAAATCACCAAAAACACTCCATTGTTGCCCAAAATAACTTAAGATTGTTTTTGTTTTAAACAAACCTGGCTTAAAGCCTGCAAGCACATTATTTCTTTCAAAACCGTATCCCATTTATCTCCCATTGATTTAATTTTGTTGATATGTGTGCCTCCCTGTGTTTTATTTATTGTAGAAAATGTATTAATTTGCTTTATAATGAAAAATAAAATTGACAAATATATTGATATGCATTTTTATACAGGCACATGAGAAGACAACTTGCTTTGGGAGAAAAATGTATTGGAAATTGTATAAAAACTTGATGGTTTGTGTGTAATTTGGTTTTTTTGGTAACTTGTAATCTTTTGTTTCCAATGAGGGGATTTATGTAACTTTTAATTTAGAACACTTTGGTAGCAATAGAAACTTTGGATACATTTTTGTATGGTACATGTGATGTATATAGAATTAGTACTTTATTTTTATTTTTAAGAAGTAAAGCATTATGTTTGGGCAGGGGGAAGAAGGAGGGTGGGTTTCCAGAACTGCATTTTTATATTAAAAAGAAAAAAAATAAAGTCAAGATATTGATTGTTGTAGCTACTTTATTCCTACCTTCACTGAGATACTGAATTTGTAACAATGAAAATGGCAAGGTATGTTTGCAATGTGATTTATAATGACTCCATTATTTATAAATGCACTGTGTTTGAACTCTTTTGCAGTGATTATCTTAAATACTGTACCAAGGAATATAATATGAAACACCAAATAATGCATATGAATGCACGAAGTATTTATGCCCAGCTTTTTTATAAAGGATTAGCAAATACAGCAAAACCAATACTTTTTAAATCTTTTTTTAAAACTTCATTGAATAGCATACTTCATTGTTAAACCTGCTTGAATCTTTATTTTAAAGGGACAATTACTTTTTAAATAGTTTTTAATGTTTTTATTCTCTATTGTTTGTAATACCCCCTTAGAAGCTTGAAATAAAATTTCTTTCTCAACTGTTAATTTTGTCCTGAATTTAGCCCCTGAGATTTTGCTGTAGTGCCCATTTTCTTACTCCATGAATGAGCTGGTACAGAGGCACTAGTTGAAGAGCCTGATTGTTTTCTTGCTGTGGCATGCAGTATCGTCCTTGCTGAGCCCTCTTCATGGTAGGTATTCTAGCTAGCTGCACTAGCTGAGACCAGTTGCCTATAATGGACTCCTCTAATAATTGGAGGATATTGTATCACAGATTAGTTGGATACATTTCACAAATGATCAAGCAAATAGTTTTCACAGTCTTGACAGTAAGCATAGCTTTAGGGGAGTAGTGATGGCAGGTATCCTGTAAGGACTGTCACTGGGGCACGCTGCTGTGATGGAAGCAACAGCCACCTCAGGTAGAAAAATAAAATTAGCTTTGTGGTTTGCCTTAAATAGAACTTCTGTGTAATGACTGCAAGGATCTGCCAAATAACCATGCTCATCTTTGAAGGGAATGGAGCTTAATTTGTGTGATACTGAGACAATAGAACCACTTGTCATCTGTTAGGACTGCCTGTTAAAAGTCTTCAAAAATAAACAGCCTGCATCATACTTTATTTCAGGCTTGTTCCACCAAATATACTCAAATTTGGTGTGTGAAACTGGATAATGATTCACAGCCTCATTCTGGCAGGCAGAGAAAATGGGGTTTTTTGGATCCGTCAGGCCTTAACAAAGCTAAAATTGCAGTTACAGTAGGAGTTGGAAGAAGATAATTTGGTATTTGTATGATGAGAATTTTGATACCTCTCAAGTACAAAGTCCCAGTTAAAAAGTGTACACGCAGTTGCAAAATGATCCTTTAGAAGGCTTCCCAAGTTCTCGGCTGCTTCTGACAGTAGCAACAGGAGAGGGAAAAAATATCTCCTTTTTTGAAAACAAGAGGAGAACATTAATTATATTACTCTGTAACAGGTTGTTTAATCAAGTCTCAGGACAAGCTTTGGTTTCAATGTTGCTCAGACTTCCAAGTTTTGTTTTCTGGCTTTTATCTGTAGGGACAGCTCCATCAGTTCTTGGAAGAAGGTGAATACGCTGCCTTGATCTTACAGGTGTCTGTGCACTTTAAAGAATTCTGAACTGGAAAACTTTACTTTAAAAGAAATGTGTTAAGCATCCTAACAAACCATTTTGTTTGATGAAATTGGCGTGAATGGCTGTGGTGGTTTTTTGTGCATGTGATATTAACTGTCCCAGGAAGTCCTCCCAGATGCTGTCTGAGAGGAGGTTGCAGCAGTGGCTATGGCTGTTGCCATACTGTCTTGTGCCAGATCTCTTCAGATTGGGTTAAAGTCTAAAATAATTTCTCAAAGTTGTCAGGTTTTGGTGTGATCTGTGTGTTTTTAAGGGATTTCATACCTACTTGGGAAAGGAAATACAAGCTCCAGAAGTGCTTTATTTCCAAATTCTAGGCCCTAAACAGGTACAAGTAGGATGAATACATTCATATTGGAATGTGCTGCTCTGCATTTTTAGACCAAGCTCTTCTATGACACCATTAATAACTGTTAAACAATCATGGAGTTGAAATTACTATTTTAGTGAAGGAAAAAAAAAGAGGGCAACACCATATCTTGCTGATTTCTTGGGGAGTGTTACAGCAGTAAATACAGGGTGTAGATTTGTATATGTACTACTCCATTCTGGTATAATCATTTCCTGCTAATAAAGTGTGAGAAACCTGAATCAGAAGCTGAAACTGAAGTTAAAATCTGTTATCTCTTGTGTTAAAATGTGAGAAATCATAAATATTTAGGAAAAAGTACTGGTAGAGAATGACTAAAAAACAGAACCTACAAAAGTTTGTATCTGTTAACCGAACTTGATTTTTTCAATGTTTTCTGATTGTGATTTTGTATTTTTACACTAGAGGGAGCAATACACACAGACCATCAACATTCACAAAATAAATACTTAATATTTTCTTTTCAAAGTTCTGCTATTAAAACTTTTTGCTGGTAAACAGTCTTACCTGCTTCTAGTTTTTGTAGTCCATCAAAAGTAGCATTCTCTGACTTTCTTGCTGCAAGTGGGCCCTTTTGGGGATACTTATTTTTAGCTCTAGAGCTAATGCATGGAACAATAACTCTGGATTTTCCACCTCTCTTTGTATCTAATTGCTACCGACAGTGAGTTTTTACACTGTCTTATTTAGCTGTTCATTTTCTTTCCACAGGTGTGTATTCTATGCCTGTATTTGCTAGTGTTAGAAAATTACTCAGAGCTGCTTGCTGCTAGAAGCATCGTGCATGTCAAACACACAGCAATTACCAACAAAAGTACTCAGGCCTGGAGGTGAGGGTTTGAGATGTGATAGTTGCCTGCCCTGCAGGCTGGTGAAGGAAGGATGTCTTGGGAGTAAGCACAAGGAAATTGAGTCAACTTGGCTCTTACATGTGATAGTAACAAATACAGAAGAGAAATGTAAATGGAGGAAGCATTCTACTTGCCACCTTCGGTTAGCTGGTTTACATTTTTGTATAACATTCATTTATGACTTACCTATTTATCAGTTCTTCCTTGAAAGATTTATTTCTTCTAAAATTCTTACAAGGTAGAAAAGAGTAAATTCAGTGTCATGAAATATACTTTCAAAATACGATGAGATTGATAAATAAGCTTTTTTTAAACCCTTTTGGAAATTGCTATTTGATGGGAAGGGGCTTTAAATACATTATCTGCCTACTTACCCAGCTTTCTTTTATTGCCTGCGCACAGAAGCTGCTGTCAAATATCTGCCAGTCAGGGAAGAAAATGTGAGATCCCAGCAGCTGTAGTCTAACTGTAAGGTTATTTAAGATCCTTTTCCATTGTTTCCATAGTGTTAAAAATCTAACAATGCAGTCACCCTGTTCTATCTTCTGTTAACACTGTGTGGAGAGAGAGGACAGAATAAGGGGTTCTGGGGTTTGGGGTTTTTTTTCTTTCTAATTTAAAGTTAAACCTTCTAATACTAATCCTGGTGATACCATGTGTCTTAGAAAACAGTCTGCTGGTCAAACAGCGGCTTTGCTGCCTCTGTTGGTTGTTTTCACAGTTCCTTCAAGCTCAGCTCAGTTTTTGTTCATCTGTTGTGATGTCTTTGCTAAAATGGGTTGGCACTGTCAGCAGACCAGGGGAGTCTCAGCTTCCTGATTTAACATCTGGCTGTACAAAGAGGTCTGGGGTAATGTGAATAGGTTCCTTATCCAGTCTTTGCTCCTCTTTATACAGTGAGCCTAAGTATTGATACTACTTTTCCCATCTCCTCCATCTGGTTTCTAGCATATTTTTGGTCTGCTGCCTGGAGCCATTGTCCACTGTGATGGGCTTCACTTTGTGAGCCATATTCTCTGTTCAACTTCCCTGGCAACAGCCCCAAGTGACAAAGATTGTGAAGCCTAAGATGATGGGTTAGAAGTGCTCACGTCTTTCTCATCTGTGTTCAGTTACTGTGTCCTTCACACCTCCATGCTTTGCTCTACAATCATGGAAATTTTCACGTTCTTACAGGATAAAACAAAACAGAAAAAGTTTATCTAAATGCATGGAAAATACAAAGAGGACAAAGGAAAGTCTATGCCTCTCGTTTTGATATATTCATATATTTTAGAAGAAAAGTGAAATCAAAGTGACTCTTCTGCTCCTCTGCCAGATGGTGATTATGGGGAGAATGTGTACAAGATGCTGGTAAGATGGTGATGAAGCATGAAGATCAATTTTCCAGATCAGCTTCATCAAATATTTAGAACCAAGCTAATCTGATGTGTTACATAATTGTCTGCTCCTTTCCATGGATGTTTATTTTTTCTGAAATGTCTCGTACAGTACTTGTCAGCAGGTGTTTCCAGCTGAGATACAGAACACGGGGCTTGGTTGTGTTGTTGATTACAGTAAGAAATAGTCCTAACTTGTAATGAAAATGTTACTCTAAAAGGGGATTTCTGCAGTGTAGAAAAAGGCTTTTTGTAGTGACTGACTGGAAGAAGAAAAGTGCTTACCCAGTTTTTGTAGTATTCTAGAAACAAACATTCTCTGAGTTACCATTGATCTCTTCAATCAAAGAACTTTAAACCAACTACTTTATGGTATAAGATCTTTTCAAATTCTTATGTTTATCTTGAATGCATTTTATTAGTAGTTATTTAATACTTCAACTGCTGTAAAAATGTGGTGTATGTAAATAAATTGCAGTCTTAGATGGTCTTTAATAGGTAATAAAATGTTTATAGTCTTTGATACTAAGTGGGATGGACCAGCTCTGAGCATGGCTTCCTGCACACGACAGGTTTCACCCAAAGTCTTTGTGGTTATTTTGGGGAAAAGAGTAGTACTTTCACCAAATACTTTCATACTTTCACAATGCATAAAGGTATCTCTTTAAGCGAATCCAGACCACTTCTTAAGTGTTCTCAGATCTTACTCAGCTGGCAAATTAATCTGGATCAGAATAGGCTTCTCATTGAAGCAGTAAGGGTAGAAGCTACTTCCTAATTGTTAAGCTGTCTCATGACAGGCAAAGATGACTTGCTTTTGGCTTTTTTACTAATTTTCACAAGTCTAATTTTACTATGTGTGATTTTCCTCCTTTCCCCCCAATTCATGTGTTAAAATAAAGCCAGAATAAGTAATCAGAAATAGTGGTTCCCAAGATGAGAAAAGCAAGTATGCTGGGGTTTTTGCTCTCCTTTTTGTTTAGTTACTCTCACATTCTGTTATTATTTAATAATATTTTGCATTCTTGCAAGGGTAGTTGTGGTGGTGTTTATACAAGGCATATCATTAAGAAGTATAAAAGCTCTAATTTATTAATGATATTTCAGATTAATACAAACTTGTAAACCAATATTGTATTTTTTTCTGTTTTTCAGAAGGTCTTCTGGATGGAATGAAAAACACCTCTCATCAATATAAGCAGTAACAGAGAACTGTTAGCAGTCGGAGATGTTACTGAATTATTTGATTTATCAGACACCATGCCTGTCAACCTGAAAATAC